CAGTAAGTTTTAGCTATAAAATGAGCACACATGACAATGTGACCAAACATCCTTATTTTGAATGACGTGTCTGTTAAATGTCTCCAACTTTAGTGTCTGATAAATGAGAAACAGATTGTTACATGCACAAATGGTAGAAAGCTTGTTGCTGGTAAAGCAGCTGGTGGCAGTCAGGGTAGAAAAGCGGAGCGAAGTCTTTAAATAAAAGAGGAGAGCGCAAGTTGTCACCACCAACATGGAGCAGTCCTGTGGCATTATGGCAAGTGTGAATTGATTAATTTTGTTCTGTCAGAGCTGATCCTTGCTGAGATAAAGGTTTGGTTCAAATGCAACTGATGCTGTCAAAGCTTGCAGTGCCAAGTTAAAAGAGAAAGTAGTAGAACTGCAAAATAAACCAAAACTTGAACCATGAAAGAAAGAAAAAAAATGAATACCATAAGACAAGAGCAGGAGGGTGTCACTAATAGAAAAGGGGAAACATCTAAACAGGATGATTGAAAAACAAATACTTATTAGTGCTGTGTACATTGTCAATAGGGATTTATTAAAATTTATATTTTTATGAATTCATTTGGGATCTTTAGTCCGTATTTTTAGAGCGAGTTTGTATGTTGTTTTGTTAACTAATTATAGAGTTTTGTGAACGTAGTCAGGTTTAGGTGTGTTTGTCCTGTTGAATATATTAGGGTCAATCACGTAAAAAACAAAAAATTGGTAATGACAAAGAGACTGAAAGAGAAAAGTAGCCATGGATGGAGAGATAAACAACTGGTTAAATGTTCGATGCATCTGTTGAGCTTGCAGCTCAGCCTAAAGAGTAGTTTTTATTCTGTGTTTGAGGAGTTTCATGGAATTGGCATAATAACGTTCAGAAGTTTGTACAGGCATATGTTATTTCTTGATTGTTTATCTGAAGAAATGTTATAATATCAAACAAAATACAATTTTGGTTATGTTGAATACATGCATATGAAATTTTATCTAAAGAAAGTATCATTTTGCCTCTGAAACTAGTACATTATGATGACATCAATGTTGACATGCTTACTACTGTACAGGGAGGAGAGTAGAATAGACTGCATAGCCAAACTCATTGTACATACACTGTGTGCTGGCTCATATCTGTTCTGTCACCCAGTTAAATGTACAGTCATGCCAGCTACATTATGTTCCAGCAGTCATATGACCCATGTGCAACATGCATACTGTTACTGTCCGTTCTTATGCACTTAGATCTAGCTCATACAAAGACACCCCCCCACACACACAAAGCTACAGTACCTTAAGCAACCTCGGGCTCTTATCAGTAGACTGCTAATCTACCCGAGTGACGAACAACCGTCTCAATAATTAATGCAACAAGAGATGCGTCGGTTGCATTTAAGCACCATGCCACGGTCCGGTTCATTGGGGTCATGCAACAGCTTCGCTCGCCTTGATTCCTAGAATGATTTAAATATTCAGTAAAGGCCTCAATGTTTTGCTTTATGACAGGCTTCTCTGGTGCAAATAAATAACTGGAGGCATAATGGTCAAACAGAGCCCAGTTCAGTTCAGTCTGAGGCTTATTCAAATTAAAACCGGGTATTACCAGTAGGGTGCAGAGCAGTGATGGACATGCAATTAGGCGAGCTAAAAGGTCTGCATTAAGAGGGATGCATTAGAAAGCCTTGGCTGTATCTGAATAGACTACAGGAGCGTTTAATTAGGGTTTGGGCAGAAGGTAATATTATTCACTTGATGAAGCAGCCAGTAATGTGTGGAAACAGCACAGCTGCTGTGCGTACACAAAGACAGCACTCTTATAAGGGTTGCTCCTAAAGGCAAGGTGGCAAAATGGTCAGCCAGCAAGGTTTTGAACTAACAGTCAATTCTTATGTGCAGTGCAGATAAGCTAAAGTCTTGGGTTTTCCAAAAACTATGAGCATGGCGCCCTGGAGCCTCGCCTTGCTGCGATGAAACAAACGCTTTTGTTGTGAGAGCAGTTCGAGACAGATCCATTCTTTTATTTTGGGCACTGACAAGTAGGTCAGAGGAGACGATGACAGTGCTGTGGTGAGGAGTAAACAGCAGCACATGATGTTGTTTTCCCTCTTACTCCTGGCACCCAACACCAGCAGCAATATGTCTACCCTTAGGACACCCCACACAAATACAGGCCTCCCTCCTCTCTCTGATCTCTAACGTCAGTAACCCGTGGCCATTCACCTCTGACATATTCAAATGGTTAAAGAGACTTTCACTGTAAACTAATATCACTGCCAGGATTACCTAATTGCCTCAGATTAAGGTCTTAAAAAGTAGGAAATTTCCCCTTCAGAAAACACAGACAGTACTGCAGCTGCTGAGGCCTGACAAGTGTTAATCTGCTCGGAGGAAACTCATTTGGCTCACTGGGTAAGTCACATGGTGAATTAAAGCAGGCACTGTTTGATCCCTCACTGAAGGTTCCAGTGTGTTTTAGGTAGAAATGAAACAGATTAGCGTGGTAAACAGGAGTATTTCCATTTATAACCTCCACAGATCAGAGCTGATTAAGTTACCTGTGGTTCATATCATACGGCTGTGAGAGTGCGTCACAGCAGGCCGAGCCAGGACCATGACAAAATAACAGAGTAATTCCCTCCTGTATCCTGCTCTGGATTCACTGCCAATCTGAAACTGAGCTCTGGGTGTTTACAACTCAGAGAGATGCGGGTAGAAACTTCTGGGCATCGTTAACACCCCTCTATGTCCGCATACATTAAGTATTCATACTGTGTGTGCCACCTGGAGTTACAGTTACATGCCAATGCTCCTCAGAGGGTTATCACCTTTCTCTGACAGTAGCAGAAAAGGTGTGGATTTGGACACTGTTGGTCGTATGCAACATTTGAAAATGAAACCACTAGATTTTTCACTTGGAAACATTTAGAAAAACTGCAGATTTGAACTGAACTCACCAATATTGTAAAATAATAAATATATAAATAACACAGAAAAAATAAAAATCTGAGGTTATAATTAGCATAAAAGTGTACTTTTGTCTAATTCAGTAATAAAAAACGTACATTTAAATGTGGAAAGAAATCTCCTAAAAAGCTTGTTTTATCTACACTGTAGAACTCATTAACTGTGCTGTGCTATCACTATTATTTATCTTTGTAATCTTTCTCTCTATATTTAGGCTCTGTATAATATTTCTTTTTTTTAACAGGAAGCTAAAAAAGCTTAAAAAACGCTAATTAAAAGACTCGTCACAACTTCAAAATCTTTTTCCGTACATAATAAATATAAAAGATTATTTAAAAATAAATTTATTATTAGGATTTTTCACAGGTTTAGAAAACTAGTACATCTAAATATTGTTTTTTAATCCAATATTTTCTGAATCATCTCTTTCTTTCATCATGATGTCCCCTTCACTTTCCCCTTAGTCTTAAAAGTCACTTGAATATCAGCCCTGGACATAAAGCAAAGAGAAAGTCTATTCAACAGGCTTATGATAGAATATTTCTATATCCCTTTACTAACTGAAGACAACGAACTAAATAATTGATTCAAATATTTGAGAATTTTAACAACTAGGTAGTAAATACTGATAAAATATTTTCAAATCTATATTTCCTTTAGAAGTCCCATTACCACATTTCATTCATCATTCTAAAGCTGTGTAACCATTGTTAATAAATGTCACAAAGCTACTGAAAAATATCACAGAAACTCATAAAAAAATAAAATTAGTAAAAAAATGAAGCTTAAGTGAAAATTCAATCTTACTCTTATCAGCTTCATCTGAACCACCTGTGATATCCCTCGTCCAGCTTCAGCCAATCATCTCAGGGCCTCACCTCCTTTGAAGCCAATCATATTTCAAGATCCCCTTCATTTAGCTCTTGGCATTGTTTCTTTCACCCACCTCCGCCCCATTTTCTTCTTAACTTTCAGAATATTCTCAGTCTGGCTTATTCTGTGTCTGGATCCTCGGGGGAAGACTACTCTAATCCTTTTTCTAGGTTACTCATCCTAACAAATGTCACTTACAGCATCAAAGTCTTCTGCCAGGGCCCGAGCGCCAAAGAACTTATTTCATTTATGTTACTATCTGCATATCTGCTTCTCCCTCCTTCAACTGAAGATGGCCGCTCACACTGAGTCTGGTTCTGCTGGAGGTTTCGTCCTGTTAAAAAGGAGTTTTCCTCTCCGTTGTAGCTACAAGCATGCTTGATGTGTGCGAATGCAGGATGGTCAATTATCCATTCATCAGCTTTCCGTAAAAATTCAAAAAATCCACTGGACTTGGTTTTCAAGATTTGAAGACGTTTCGCCACCTCTCCAGGAAGCTTCCTGGAGAGGTGGCGAAACGTCTTCAAATCTTGAAAACCAAGTCCAGTGGATTTTTTGAATTTTTACGGAATGACTATGACCTGGATGACTGAGAACCTTCATCAGCACATTCATCAGCTGTTTTTTGCTTAGATAGAAATTTTTTTAACCAATCTCCTGTGTCACCTGTAAAAAATAAATTAAATAAAAACTTTTCTAATTTGATCTTTTCTCTGCGTGATTCTCTCAAGGTTGAAATGATCATCAAATTGGTAAAGAAAAAAGCACAATATCATCAAATTTTATAGTGATCAACCTGTGCAATAAAGGATTTTTTTAAATCTGTCATAATTAAGAAAAAAAATTGGGGTGTCAGGTAAATTATTTCAAAGCTCCGAACAGGAAGGAGGGTGGGGATAAGGTCTGTAAAGCTGTATTACTGGCACTGTGCAGCTTTGGCCGTGGCAAAGGGGCATGCGGTGGGTTTGTATGCCAGGAAATATTAGTGGGTGATATGTGAGAGGCCTCCCACCTCCCTGTTGATAAATTATGGAGCATCATGACAGGAACAGTTTAACCCAGCCAGCATGACAAGCAAGTTTAGACTCATGATCACGAGTGTTGTAGTCACGGCTTACTTAACAACCTAAATGCATGCTCTCCAGGTTAAACGTAATGTTGCTGTGGATAAATACCTGTGTGTGTTTGCCTGTGGGCCTCCAGAGCTTCATCTGAGGAGAATGTTGCTCCACACTGATCGCACACCAAAGCCTCTGCAGGAGCTGTAGGTGACATCAAACCCAACAGAAATGAAAAAACAACAAAATACATGTATTGCTGTGTTACTATAGAGTTTAAAAGCAATATCCTTTTATTCAATTTAATTTTGTTCAAGAGTTAAATTCTCAGATTTCTCATTTTATGGGTATTTTTATTTATTTATTTTTTTGTCCATGCAAAATCATTTTTGGCATGTTTACATGAAGTGTTGATCTGTGGTCTGTCCCTTATTATTTGGATTGCCCAATAAACCATTAAACAAGTGAAATGGGAATAAAATATGAAGAAAAATAAAGGACTTATTCTTAAATAGTAGGCCACTATTTGGACCCTTAACCCAGATTGCTCTCCAGGCGCCCCACAAATGGCAGCCTCTATGAGAAATCCCTGTTCAAGTTTGATCCTTGGTCTATTAAGGTAAGCAGCGAAAATGTAGAGCCCTGGTTGGATAACTCCAAAATATGTCACTTCCAGTGAAGTTAAACCTCTTAGGGGGTCTATGAAGCAGGGTCTGGTATTGAAGTTGGCTGCTTGATGCTTATTGGCAAACATACTTAAGGATTTCTGAATGACAGTACCCAGACACAGAGGAGGATTTCCTCATGAGTCGAGAGGGAAAAGTGATCATTCAGTCAGAACATGTTGTGCTGAAATCTTGCCGTGGAGTTTATTTCAGAGTGCTTCAATACAGCAATTTTCAGCCGTCGTAGTGTTTGGTTTTGTGCGTTTCAACATTCGTTAATGCAACGTGTTACATTTGGATTTCAACAACACCAATGAGTCTCCCCTGTTTCAGAGAGCAGCAGCCACTGGATAGCAGGTAGTGGTAATATGGAAGACATGGACTTTAAGCCCCTCTAACACATTAATTCCATTGTGCCTTTTGGTTGATATCTAGGGATTATGTTCTGATGAAAAGTGAACCATAACCCATAAAGATTTCCATGTATCGAGCTCTTCCATTCACCAACCAGATCTGGTTCCCTGGCTGAAAAAAACATCCACAGAGCAGCACCAAGTTCCCTGTGAGGATGGTGTTTTCAGGATGATGTGCACCTGGATGTTTCTACTACATAAGATTTATGTTTGGTTGGTTTTTGATTCAATCTTACCAGAATCATTTTAAATGTTTCTAATAGTTTCTGTGTGCCCTAGCTGGATCATGGTGACCTGCAAATTGACTCTATTATGGCCTTCTTTCAACAAGGTATTTTACTCTGCCCACCATTCTTCCACAAAAGCCACAACTTTCAAGTGACTTTTCTTTAATGCCTGGTTAAGGTAAATAAATTATTAATAAAAGGTAAATAAAATCACCAGACTTTTTGTTGTTTAAGGAAGAAAGTAAGGCACAAAATACAGTGGAGTACAGGACAGCACCATAAATGCAAAAGCTCTTGTCAGGGTCCAATGGCCCTTATTTTCTTCTTCCTGACATAAAAAGAAGCTGAAGAGTTTTATTTACTGTGGCCTGTTATCAGTCTCTGAACTGTGAGCAGACTGTCTGCCTGAGAGGCCACAGAAGGACCGGGTGTTCTCTGTACAGCAGACGCTTCCCGCCTGCGGCACATCCCTTTATCACCGAAAAAGACGAAAAGACACTTCACAGTCAACATCCCAAATCCCAACGCACTGTAACTTCAGGTCACCTTTGGCGTGCCATTTCCTATTCTGATATAGACATGAAAGAGACAAGTATGCATACAGCTTTCAGAGACATTGAATTCTTGTTCTGCTCTCACCTCACACCTGCACTGACAGACACATTGGACTAACATGAGCACACACGCGCCCCGTCGCACACATTTTCTCTGTGTCTCTCTTGCACGCAGCTGTTTGGATGTGGGTTGGCTCTTACTGAGATGTAAATCGGTTGCAGATCCATACTGGCCCAGGGCTCATTCACTGATCTATTTTCTGCTCAGCTGGCTTTAAATGAAGTTAAAATGACTCATTAAAACACCCACAAGCTTTGGGAACTCTGAGCACTACAGCCTAAATGTGGTCCTCTTTCAACTCTGTGCACAGACAGTCCACCACTGTTCCCAGAGCTGCACGCAAATAATAAAAAAAAAGGCTTTAATCTGTTCTCTTTTATTTTAAATTGAAAAAAAAAAACATTCTGGTTCATTTTGTCTTGCAGAATATACAAATAAAACTTGGTTTGAGAACAGTCTTGTGCACTAGTAATGGTGGAGTTAAGTGTTGTAGATCCTGATGTTGTTTGACGCTGTCCAGCCCGGTGTGTTCTGCTGTGTGAGATTGTGTGATAAGGAAAGAGGAGAACATAGTGCATTGTCTTGTGCAGTCAAAGGCACGGAGTGTGCTCTCATCCATAAACCATCAAACTGTCTCCAGACGCGGCTGCAATCGTCCTCCATCAAAACACTTTGTCTGGCATACCAAAATAAGAGCCAGCATCGAGCTGAATACCAAATCAGCCCATTAGAGCGGCGGAGCACTCGCTCCTTAGCAACCAGCAGGATCTGAGGCTGCTATACTGAAATACACAGTGACAAAGAAATGAGATCCACATCTATCTCTCTCTTTTTCACCCCCTCTCCCTCCTTCTAGTATTACTGGGTTGACACGTCGGATGGGGAGAGTTTATGCAAAAATTCAAATTCGGTTAAAGGTGCTGCTGTTATGGATGTCAGTGCGAATTGAAAATCAAAGCATGCTGTGAAGGTCTGAGAGTGATGCAAAACAATGTGTGTGTTCAGGGCGATGCAGAGGGGGGAAAAAACAGGAAGACTCAGGTGAAGTTTAAAGAAGCAGATTCTCTCTCATCTGTCAGCAGCATGCCATTCCTGAACATTCCTCAGAGAGCAGGCAGAGAGGACAGGGACTTTGCCTTGTCTCTACACATATTCAAACTGAGCTTTGTGTTTTTAGTTTCATTTTTAGTCTCTGATCCCTCCTCCCCTCTGTATTTCCGTGCCCCCCCCACCCCTCTCTATTTTGGATAAAGTAGCTGGGAGAGCAGTCAGGTCTGATTAAGTCTGCATTTGGGTACAGTGTGTTCCTGGACACACATCTGCGAGCAAGCCATCACACACGCTTCGGAAACGCTGGCAGAACACCCAGGCCTGCCGGCAGCTCATGATGTCATCACTCAGAAGGGGCAGAGCTGGCAAGCCGCCATTCTCTCCAAAAAAAAAAAAAAAAAATGGAAATACAAAACAGGAAGAAAGCAGAGAAACGTGGACCGCTATGTGGAAAAGAAAGCATGAATCAAGAGTTTGGAGCAGCACTAACTACTATGGGAAGACCAAAGGGGGGTGAACAGGTGCATCTGAAAGGCCCAAACTACTGTATCAACAGCGTTGATCTGCCATGAATGCTCTGAGATGAGTGTGTGAGAGTTACCAAATACCTGTGTGAGACAGCATGTGCATCCTGAGCCGCATGCTGTCCTGGAAGTGTTTCCCACAGTATTCACAGCTGTTGCCCTTCTCCTCATTATGAAGCCTCCTGTGAAAAGAAAGCACACTGATGTGAGAGTGCTAATGGAGGAAAGAATGCAGTGAGAACAGACCTGTAAAAATGTTATTTATTTCACAAGTACGGTGCTCATTGGTCAGCAAGAGAAGTGACTGACATTAGTTAACTTCTTTCCTACTCTAAGCAAGACTGTTGACAGTTCATAGGTACGATAAGGTTTGAAACTGTTACAAAAAAGGTCTTTGCCAGTATGTGGAAAAATATTGACATTTTCATTTGATAAGAAATTTGATGACAAAGTTTGCAAGCAATCAAATCCCTTCATAGTTAATTTTTGTCTGGTGGGACGATGGAAAAAAGCCAGTGATGTAAAGGGAAGTCTATAATTTAGTCAGCTAAACCTAGATTAAAAGGAGAATAGGTGACAATAACTTACTGAATCTAAATTATATTGAAAAAATAATAACAGCAAACAATTAGACTAAAATAAAATAAAATATACTGTGATGGATGGAAAGTAAAACCAAGACAACTTATCAATCCTGGTAAGGTGTTTCTACTTTTGGAAACTAGAGTTGGCGAGTTATAAAACACATTTCTGTAAAGCAACCAACTGCAGGCTAAACTCAGTAGATAGCCTGATATATCAAACCAGCTACTGTTTTTAGCAAACCACAGTTGTTGCTTCTCTTAAATAGGCTAAATGTTTCAGATATTGTAATCAATAATCTAACCATGCCATACATTAAGGTTTCATTTGAAATAATTGTAATTTTCCTGAAGATTTTAAATAATGCTATTTTCCCAGGGAGTTCTATACTCATTGCAACAGTCAAGGTTAATAAAGTAGGACAGCTTCTGATTGCCTGGTTGAAGATAAGACGAATTTTCCTTACAGCTGAGTAGGAGTAGGCAATTACTGCTATAGATTTACAGAGAAATGTAAATGCTTCCTTCAAAACCACCTAAGGTTTTCATCATACTTTTCCTAAAGTGTTATGTACACACGTACAGTTAGCAAGCTTGCTAAAAGAAAGGTCTTAAGTTATTCGCTTGTTTAGAAGATAAACATTCTTCTACTTGGAGATTTTGTAACAAAAAATGCAGAAGATAATGATTTGGAAAATAAAGGAGTAACAAATGTCACTCAACAAATATTTAATAACAAATATTTGCTGTTTATTTTTAATATACATCAAAATGAAACAAACCAAAAGAGTAATTTATTTTTGTTTTAATAGTAGGAATATATAAAATCTTTATCTTTTAAATAAATATTTTTGTTTTTAGTTGAGGTTGTTATACTATTAATCTCTTATACTGAGCCATGCCTATTCTGCACCTTTTCTTTAAGGCCTCCTAGACCTGGAAGTATCATTGTCCTCAGAAAAAGAGGAGTGTGTTTTAATTCCTGCAAGAATCCCTAGCTGAATGCAGCATCATTAGTCTGAGAGGCCTTTGGAGTTTTGTATCACAACGCATGAATGCTAAAAGAAAACAGACAATAGGATATCTGGCTAATTTCAGAGTGCAGACAAACGCGTGCTTCCACCCGCCAGCGCTCCAAGACAGCAGGCACACACACAAACACACAGACTGCATGCACACAAAGTCACATCCCAACTGAATAAGCTCTCTCTCTCTCCCACACACACAGATATGCACTCTTCTTCTGTGACTGCAATAAAATGATTTGCTGAAGCTCCGCCAGCAGCAAAACCTATCATATCATATCACACACAACCGAAGCATGCGAGGCATCTGTACTGTTATCCTTATATCACCCCCTACAGCCGAGCACGTGGCCTGAAAAGAGCCTGCGCTCAAGCACACATGCAGTGGTAAATATGACAGGAACCTGAGATGTTGCTTAACGCACATTAACAACATCAGAAGAGCAAAACAGGAACTCTGAAGTAAAGATTAGATGTTATTTTGTCTGTAAAGAGTCTATTAAACTATTTGCATAATATATATATTTTTTACATGTAACACATGATATAACATTTTTTAATTCATTTTGAGGATTTATTGTGAGTTTATGTGAAAAACATTTAAATAGGGAGAGTAAGCTATTAAAGAAATGCAATAATGCAATGCAAAATACCAAAGACAGAAATATGTAGATAACCAAGACATAGAAAATTCAAGAGCTTTAACCCTAAATAATAAGAATATACATGCATGTCAAAGTTCTACTATTTATTTATTTATTTTAAAAATTAATTTTATTAGTAGAAAAAAAAAATCAAAATAGATCTCTTTAGGAGATAATATCAAATGTCATGTTTGGCAGAAACATTTTTTTAAATATATATATATAAATTGTGAAATTAATTGTGGAGACTTTAAATTTGTGTAATTTGTGCTCACTTTATGTTTTTTTTTTTCATCTGAAGCAACTGAAACAGAGCTTTGACTAGCTGGAAGAAGCTTATTATTTATAGGTCCACTACCTACAAATGCTTGTCCTCCTGTCTCTACATTGGACTAAGTGGGAAATTTTTTTTTTTTTGAGTCTTTTTGTGAGGTGATTATTTTTTTTTCTTTTAAAGAGAAAAAAAATGGAATCCAATCTGACATCAAGGCGTAAATGCTGATCTGAACAGCTCTTTGTAAACCTTCAAAGTGGTCCTGTAAATCTCTCTTAAATGAAAGTCTGTTCTAATCACTAAAACACCAGCTTTGACTGGACTGAGCTAAAGAATTTTTTAAAGCCACCTGTAATAACCAGTGGCTTGAAATTAGTGCAACGATTTCTGGTCATCAGGAGATACAGTATGTAAATGAAACGTCCTAACACTGATTCTGTTTTGGTCAGTTCTTTCCCAACTTTTCAGGTGATGAAATGGAGGTACCTCAAAGGGAATTTATATTGTCTAATGTTATGCACGATATCTTTTTAGTAAATTTGCTGAAACAGGGAACAGAATTAAAGTAGCTGTAAATGAAGTTAACAAAATATTAAGACAATCATTTACAATCAATGGTCACAACATTTAAACATTGTTACCCATTTGTTATCGTCTAATTCATGGAAATATTTCATGTGGTCGATAAGTAACATCCAAATACATATGTGTGTATGTGAAATGGGTACGAACTGATGGAAAGCCACAAATTAGTGAAGGGAAAAGGTGATTCAAATAACTCCTGATCGGATAATGGGTTTTTTAGGCAACTAACTGCCTTTAGGTTCCCTTATATGTTCATGATTATACAACGTTTCTGTCATTTAGCCATTAGGAATTAGTGCTTTTTATTTTTCATCAACTTCCCTCCAATTATACTTTTATTAACACAATAAAGGACCCTTTGTTTAGTTTCCCCATACCCCTATTATTTGATTATGAGCTGATGTTTAAGACACTATAAATTAAGGATGATTTGCACGCATGCATTCCTTTAGAGTTATTTTGATAACGTATTTAGGAGAGTGTTTGTGCATCTATAATTCCAACCAGGCAATCTGGGTTTATTTGGTTCTTTAGTCAAAAACTGTGCAGAATTTTTCAAAACAACAGTAGAAAATGTCAGTCTGCAGATCAGGTGAATGCTCAGTGACCTGGTTACACACTTACAGGAGCCTCATCACATCCTCGAGCTGCGCCACCAATGTAACCCCTTAAAACCAGCAGACATTGGTTTGTCTATATGGGTAAGGGACGCTCATCATTAAATATACCACAGGATGCTTTTTTGTTCTTCACTGGAATGGCACGCAGCTGAGATGTCAGCCGCAGGGGTGAGAAGGGGAAGGCTGCGATCCTGATCGTAGGTTAGCAGCATATTAAAGCTTGCTGTGTTGCTAATGATTAATGATGACTCAAACACTGCCCATCCTGCACAATTAGAAGCATCTGCAATCAAGCTAATGAGTTTTTTCACTGAAACCGTTTGTGGGTTTTTGACTAGAATGACAAAACACAAACTGACAAGCTCATAAATAAAGCAAAAATAATCAAATACCAAGAAAAAAAACAACAACATCAAGACAGGGAGCCGAGGAACAGAAGTTATCCATCATGCTGCCGAGGCGTCCAGCCTGGTACCCGCTGAGAGGTTTCTCTCTGTTAATGCAAAGGAATGCATATCAAATAGCCTGGGAGACGGTCTGTTGTGCAAGGCACACGTCTGTGTAGATATCAAAGACAGTTTAGAAAACATGGCTTTGTAAATGATGATAGTATGTGATATCGAGACCTCTTTACATGAGGCCAACTTCACAAAGACCCTTTTCATAACATCAACTGTTATGAACTAAGTACAGGTGTCCCTCAGAATATATTAACATTTTTACTGATGCTTTCTCCATCTTTTGGATCATAGCATTTCAACATCACAGGACAAAAAGAAAGACATGTATTTTGAAACAGTCTTTAGCTTATCTCAGTTTGCATATCATACATCCACACAAGCATCAGCATATCTATCAATCACCCTCTACTTTCTGCAAGTTGATTTATACCGTAACTCTCGTCCTCTGGAGTTTCTGTCTCAAAGTAAACATAAGTGAGCTTAATGAAGATACTAAAACTGGATGTTCTGCAGGTTTTTACCTGTGTTGTTCGATAGCCTGTCTGCTGTGCAGCTGGAGGCCACATTCTCCACAGCACTGCTGACCTGCCGTCTGGCCGTCGTTCCTCATCCCTGCTGCAAACTGCCCCAGCCTGCTCAGCAGCTCCCTGTGCAGCAAGCCATGGTGCAGCAGGCCGCTGTAGGCCCTGGGATCGAGCGGAATGCCCAGGGATGGGGCCACCGAAACGGACAGCCCTTCTCCCATGTGGTTGGAGGCTACAGCGTAAATGGAGGCCAGGTCTTTGTCAATGATTCCAGGAAAACCTTCGAGAGTGTTTGTCACCGTTTGCCCGCCTTCTTCGGAGCCTGTGTTCAGCTCTCGGGCGCTGGTGATAACACTGCCTCTGAGAGGCGTCCCTGGGCCTTCATCTCTTGGCTGCTCAGTCGTGCTCGTTGTGTCTCCTGCAATAGACAATTTTCCCTTGCAGCTGTCGGCATCGTCTACCTGCATGTGCTCTGATTTAATACTTCTGGCAGGATCTAGGGATGAGTCTTGGGAAACATTGTGAAGCTGCTGGGAACTCTCCATATCGACCTCAGCATCCAGCTTGGGGCTGACCTGAGGAACTGCCTCACACTCTGGACCAGGAGAGCTCCTCTCTGTCATGTGGTACAGAGCCAAGTGGTGGAGAGCGGTGGGAGAGCTGCACTTTGTTCCATCTTGTAAGGAGTGCTTCTTGGACATCAACATGTGCCTCCAGTGCCTGGCTCGACTGTGATCACTGTGATCTCCAGAGCTGTGATTCCTGACTGACACCTCTTCACTTTCCTCTGCTTGGATAGTCTCAAGCACCTTCAGGCATTGCTCTTCCAGGTACTCAATCTCCAAGATCTCAGCAGCATACAGCAGGTCATCCAAGTCCTCAGCTGTAGCTTGGAGCGAGGCAGTGTAGGCATACTCAAGGATCTGCTGAAAGGTTTTCGGGGAGAGGAAGTCAAGGGCATAGCGCAAGCTGCTGCGGTGGAAAAGGATCTCAAACATCTTGCTGGTGCAAGCCAAGACGGTGCGATGCGCAGGAAACTCCTGACCGTCCACCGTGATGATCACATCACACAAGGTGCCAGTCAGGCGCATTTGGTTGGCCCGCTGGAGAAGTGTGCTGGAGTGAGTGGGGTTGTTGAGCTGGAGAACACCCATGTTTGCCAGAGCCATATCCAGTCGGGCCCATGCATGAGGTGTGGCTGTCCTGCCTTCTTCTCTTACCTTCAGCCAGTTGTAGCTCTGTGATTTGGGTGAAGGAGGAAAGACAGAATCAGTTCTGCCTGATTAAAAGCACATGCACAAGGAATAAGCATCTAAAGCAGGTGCCTGGGGGCCACCAAAAGAAAGCCCTTAAGAGGCCCAGAATTTTCACAATCTTTACAATGTTTTTACTTTCTGAGATACATCAGAACTAATTGTGCAAAAAGAAAACATTACCTTGATACTCTGATGAGCCTTCCGAGCTACGGCAAAGAGCAGCATCTTAACAGCATGATGGTGCAGCCATCATTTATCTAGGTTCGTTTTTGGTTACACGGTTGTAGTATTTTGGCCTAAAGTTGTTTATTTTGGTCTCATTTGACCACATTACCTTAAAATCACTGTAATCTAATGATATAGTTTAATTGAATAATGTTAGGATTTAGAATATCAACAGTTTTATACTTGAGATTTTAACTCACTAAATAGCAGAAGAAAGTATAGCAGAAGACGCACAATAATAGAAGATTTGTTGGACATATTGTTTTGAAAAAACGTGTAGCTATGATATAAGACATATAAAATACATTCCATCATTACTTCTATTATTCTAATCTGTTTTTACAATCATCTCTTGTGTCTTCAAGACTTTAAGCAGCTGGACACTATCACAGCTGTGAGCATCAATGGCTGTGAGACTACAATAAGCTTAGTATTAGCTGTGAAGGCATGAATTATTCACATTTAAAATATAAGAGTATTGCTTTTATAAGTATATAAAATAATAAACAACAGCATACAACTTACAAGTTAGGAGCAAACACTTTGGTGCAGAATTGGAGTTATTTTTTTTCTTCAATTTTAAAACGAATACATCTATCAAAAAATGTGAAGAACTTTAACTTTATAGTCCCTATAGATTAAATAAATAAACAGATAAATTAATAAAATCGGCTAATGTAATTGACAGATTGCACCTCTAGGAAAACTGAAAAATAGTGTAAACTGTAAAAAAAATTTGACCATGCACCTCCACTTAAAGTTATTTCAAAATTGGAAAAATGTTTAGATTGTATGATTTCCATTGCTAGACTAAACAATTATTAACATATATTAAGTCACTAATGGTACTTTACAGCAATGGTGGTATTGTTAACTGAGCTTAAGAGAAAAAAAAAAAAAAACATATATTACATTCTGATCAGCCCCCCTCCCCCCCAAAACACATTTTAACCGGCTCTGCTTTTAATAGAAAAATACTGTTAATAAAAACTCAAATGGAAACTTTTATCTGAGCTAAATCAAAAGGAATATTTTTGAAGCGAAACATTAAATATTTAATCACATTCAGTGAAATATGTACCCCCTAGTGATGTCTTCAGAGGTCTTATTTGATGCAGGCTCCCTGTTTATGTATTTTAATTAAGAATCAAAGGCAGACAGCAGGTCGATAAGCGCAGAGCAACAGTTTCCATTGCAGGTGATTAGTCTGAGGGCTCGTTGTGAGCGGTCACGTCTCTGTAATAGCGTCTGCATACTGAGAGGTGACGGTTCAATTTGTCAAGCTCCTCACACACATCTCAACAGGTAGGCTGCTTATTATCAAACGGCTGATTATTAGTTTATTGCACACGTGCGTTGTTAATAATAAAGCTTTAACAAGTTATTAAACTTGACTAAACTGATTTTTTTTATTTTGTTTTTTTACAAACAACTGAGATCTGAGATGTTTTTCTTTTTTTTATTATTATTATTTTTTTTTTATGATCTCTTCATTAGCTCCTCTGCTGATGCTGACCTCCTCAACTAACGGGGAAACGCATCAGGTGCGCAAATCCGCGTTTTTGATCCCGAACGCTCAGAGTCCCAGTCTGCGCGCTCACTCTCTGTCTGCGCTCCTGTGTGTGCGCCAGGCAGCGCATCCTGTCCGAAAATAACAGACCCAGTTCGCTAGAAAATGAACGCTCAAGTTTTCCTAAAAAAAAATAATAAAAAATCCTAAATCAGGTTGCTGGAAAAACTTGTCTCGATTTCCACATCTCTTGTGGAGCGAAGCATTTGTAATATGACCTGAGCTGTTTTCACTGAGAAATAAAAATCATTGAAAAATGAAGATGATAAAAAAAAGTAGTTGATATGGGACGTCATTCTAATTAAAATGAAATAGAGAGGTTCAGCTCTCCGAGCTTTTTTTTTTTTCTTACCTCCGTCTTCTAAAGACCTCCGTTGATTATCCAGGCAACATCATGCTTACACATTTCACAGTACCCGCTCCAAATTCAGTCCTGCTTCAAGTAAGCAAATCATCAGCCTGCCACCAATCGTTAATTCAGCTGACGGGGGAAGATGGGAGTTCCGCGTTGACTTTTCAAAATAAAATCCCTTAATCAGAACCCACTGAAGTCTGACAGGTATAACTTGAGGAGGAAAATCTTCACTTAAGAAGCTTAACCTCTATTTAGAACTTAGCCATATTGCCAGACAGGACACTGTAAAAAAACAAAATAAACAAAACACCCCCCCCTGCCATATAATAACAATAATAATAATAATACAGACATAAAAATTAAAATACAAAAATACAAATACAGGAAAATAAAAACAATGGGGAGGGACAAGAGCAATGTATTTACAAATAGGCGAGCTGGAACAGATGGGTTTTGAGTCTGGTTTGGAATAAGGAGAGAGAGTCAACATTGCAGAGGTCAGGAGGAAGTGAGTTCCAGAGCTGGGGAACAGAGCAGGTGAAGGTTCTGCTCCTCATGTTGACAAGTCGAGCTGGGGATACAGTGAGGTGGATGGAGGAGGAAGATCTAAGGGAGTGGACGGAGGTGGTGATGTGAAGGAGGTCGGCCAGACATGGAGGAGTTATAGGTGGCTTTGAAAGTATAAAGAAGGATTTTGAATTGTATTCTGAATTGAACTGGGAGCCAATGGAGTTGCTGAAGGACAGGGGTAATGTGATGAAAAGATGGGGTTCTGGTGATGACAAGACAGTGCGATGCGCAGGAAACTATAGGCAAGGCAAGGCAAGGCAAATTTATTTGTATAGCACAATTCAATACAAAAACAATGCAAAGTGCTTTACATGATTAAAATATAGGAAAATAAAACAGAATCAAAGCAAGTAGGAAGAAAAAAATTATCATAAAGTTACCTGCGAACCTCATGGGTAAGATTGTTTTATAGACTTTATTTCCTATGTGATAAAGCTTAGGTATCAAATACACGCTGGCTCAAAATTAAACTAAAATTGCAGCCCAGCTTTAATATTTATTGAAATGATCTTATTCTGTTTGGTGAAAGCTAAGAAAAACATGTTCTGTACATATGAGAACTGATATTCTGCTTTTTAGCTGAGCAGAAATATATTATTTTCCATTTGTCCTTTTCCCATTTATGGGGGTGGTGGCCCAAGGTCGTTAAATAAGGTAGCCTAATTAATGAATGTCAGATGAGTAGTGGGATTATGGACCCTGAATTACACCAGAGTATTTTGAGATAAATAATACTATGTGCTGTCTTTACACTTGTTGGCCCTCAACACACTTATTTTGGTACAGGGATCTGATTTGAACACATAACTTAAGAAGCAGGATAGTGCACAGCTGTTAAATAAAAATAAATATATAAAATTGTGTTTGCTTTATTCTATTTACAAATTAGAAATTGGCCTGCATTTGTATTCAGGTAAATATGCGATGTTAATTGGCTGCCCATGTTGGCCCGAAGGTTTGATTCCGGTGTTTCACATGTTTTGCCATCTCCCATCAAACTGAAAACCAGAATTCTTATGATTTTCTTTCCCCTATTCTTTTTTTCTGGCTATTATTTCCTAAAGGCCTGATTAGGTTCAGCCAGCCTATCACCAGAGTGTTTCACCTTAGCTGTGGATCTCTGCAACCCCTACAGAGTTCCAGATCAGGCAGATGTCAACATTTTTGGTAGATTTAGAGTTGAGCCACATGGTTTCCATCCATGATCCAATGGATTAAATGTTGCTACTGTATAAAAGATTGGAAAATACCTGCTCACTGTGTTTATCATTCATCATGAGGTTCTTTGTCCATTAATGTTCCCTAACAAACACCTGAGGCCTTGATTTATTCTGACTTTACATAACTAAGCAGGTGACTTCTGATAGAAGTTTGTTTCACTAGAGGTAGCAGAGTAAAGGAAATTAATACAAATGCATAAAAATATTTTTCAGATTTTGTAAACGTTCTTTAACACCATTTGCGTCTTTTCTTTCCATTTTACCACTGAGCACAAATTTGTGTTGGTCTATCAGATAAAATCCCAATAAACATGTTTGTGGTTATAATGTTAGGAAATGTTAAGAGTTATGAGACCTTTAATAAGGAACTGTATTTATTTAAACGTGGGAGCAACGGTAAGACAAGTTAAAAATAAAGTTTGACTGGAGGAAATCAGATATGACAGTTGATGTTTTTAATTTCTTTAACATATGACCTGGTGATGATTACGGCCCCTCAGAGTTTAGACTCAAGCTGGCTGCGGCATCTTGGATGTTTGGTGCTTTAAGGCAGATGGAGTAAATATTTATTTCTGACTAAGAACTTCTGATGCATGTCATTCTCTGCCCATTTTACTGTTAGAATCCAAATCTACATTTAATTGAAAACGTGACAAAAGAAGAAAGGCGAACAACAAAATAATAATAATGATAATCCAACATTTTTAGTATCTCTTAATCTGTTGAATACATCGGTTTAGCGATTGTGGAAATAAAACATGTTATGTATATCTCTAACCTTTTAATATTTTAATAATATGATTACATAAAATTTCTTTACATGTATGTTATTCTAAGAGTACACAGAGAAAAAGTAGAGTCTCATTGAATTTCTCCTTACAAAAGGTTGTATAGACTAAGATAGATGTCGACTGGTTTAAATGCTAGCTGCAACTGAAGCACTAAAATAATTAAATTAAATATTAAGAAAAATAACTCTTTTTTGGTCTTAAGTTTTTATACATAATAACTATAAATACCCTGGAACCCTACCATTCTTAAAAATCAGAATATTCAACTCTAAAATGTGCAACACATAACTTTGCATAAAGAAAAAACATATACAACAACCCCCCAAAAAAGTCTATGAAAGCTGAATGTGAGAAAAATAATCACATAATAAGAGCTTTTCAAATGTATTTGCCCTTTCCACTTGTTTCCAAATATTATCAGGTTAGAACTAGAGGGCCTACAGCCACAGGTTGGCAAACTAAACAAATTCTGGTCAAATGAAACAATAATTCAGCTTTTTGGTCAAAATACAAACCAGTGTGAGTAGCAAAAAAGTAAGGAACCATTCCCACCATAAAACAGGTAGTAAAACAGCATCCTGCTCCACAGAGATCTACCTTTTCTACCAAAGACCTTTACTTATATTTGGACAAAAAGACGTTCTAAAAAGATTTACTAAATACAAATTAAAGGCATATTTTGTATATTTGATATCCAGTTTGGGATAGAGTGTGTCTAAAACAAAAAAATGTCCAATATTCAATTAAAAATGAAGAAATATTCAACAACTGTCACTAAGCAGATGACCGAGCGGGTTTACCTAGAAATAAGTCTGTAATGATCAGGCTACATGTCAGATTTACTATTTTTAGTTTGGATAATAAAATAAAAACAAACTATGAACTGGTGGACTTGGAGGCCTGAAGTTTCCAAAGCAGGAAATAGTGATTTTTTAAATACATTTTTTTTGTGTGTGTCTGTTAATACGGTGAAAGCATAGTGCTTTTATTCAAGGTCATTATGCCATTTATCATTGTGAGAAACACTAATGTACATCCGTTGCTTTTATTTTATTGTGAAAAAATAAAAAACTATATATATTGCGGTGTATTATATATCTAATTTTAGGATATGGAAATGATCTATGATGTGCTATGCATGCTTGAGATCAGTGGACATTGAGGACGCCCAGGATATCAGGGTAGAAAAGGTTATCTCTTTGTATTTTGGTGTATAACTCTTTAAAATCCAGTTTAATAAACTTTATATAGGTATCAATTGATTTATTTTAAACAGATAAGTTGCTTTGTTTTCAAACACCTTTATCAAACTAAAACAAAGAGACTTGTTTTACTTTGAAGCCCATTCTAGCAGCTTCCTGAACCATCAGCTGACTTGACTCCCTGTAAAACACTTTGGGAATGTCAGGGCTTCTCTCACCATCAGTTTCTACCAGACAGATCAGAAGAAACCCAGAAATCAGGAAAGTGGAAATCTTTGGATTCTTTAAACTGAATGGTTTACATAAAATCTCATCTGAAAAAAGAACATGGCAGATTTTTACCCAGACAGGTTCATTTTCAGCCGCAGTATCTAACAGGTTGGGGACACAAGAGTACATGTTTCTAGAGAAAAAAACAAAGAATTATTAAAAAAGATGAAGGGTAGATCTAAATGTAGACGATAAACGGGTCAGTGTGCTTGTTGACTTTCTGTTGACACAATTTCACAAGAGAAACAGAGGAATTAAATGCTGTATAAATATCAACCCTGACATAGTTTTTAAATTTTAGCGTCTGTCTATCTAGTTTCTCTATCTAGTTTGTCCCCCATATGTTTTAAGTGTGTGTTTGCCACTTCTCACTGAATAAAGCATTCTGTTAAGTTCTCCGAAGGAAAATAACCTGTTTCTGTAACATTTCAGGACAAAATGCTGGCAGTTCAACATGGGGAAAGAAAAGGCTTTAACACGCCGTTACTGCCATCTGCTGCTCAACCTGTGCCATTGCATGAACACCCGAGGATAAAATACCTGGCAAAATAAAAATAATGAATTGAAAATTTATTACTTGCAGTTTTAAAAGTGAAATTCATACTTTTATTTATCTGTTATATCTATTTTATTTTTTTTTTCTGGATAATTATGGCTTACAACTGATTATAATAATAATAATAAAAAAGAAGAATCTGATACAGTAAATAGTTGCACATTAGACAAATAAAAAAGCAATAATTAAATGTTAAGGTTATGTTATGGTCTCGGTCACTGATTCCCAAAGTTGGGGTCCTGACCCCACTTGGGTCCTTGATCAACCATCAGTACCGTGTCTTGAAATCTGCTATAGAAATTAAACTAAACAAACATGTTTAAGTGCTCAAAGACACAAAAAATAAACCCTAAAAATGTACAAAACCAACTCTTGTGGTTATTAAAGCTTTTTTTTAATATTATCAAATATCTAATTGATTTTGGGGAAATGTTTGTAAACTACTATTAACAATAATGCAGGTCATTGACTCTGGTAACAGTTTTAGGGGCAG